CAGCACAAAATAATTTAAGAAGTATTCTTTCATCTTCTGTCTTCTGGAAACTTTCGTAGAGTTGTGTTATATTTATTAGAAATGAATCACTAAGTCTAGCTCAAGGAGAGAGGATAGCACAAGAACAGAAATTTGAGGAGGTAAGGATTTTTGGAAGGCATTTTAGGACTGCCTAGAGAGGAATGTTGCTAAGAGATGTGAAGAACCCTGCCATTGTTTATAAAGAATTATGATTATGGGTTCACTTCTACTCTTTTGTCCCTGTTCTTCAGATGTCTAAGTTTCCTTAGATTTATAAAATAGCGAGCAAATAGAAAATGTTTATAAAATATGTGTAACATACGAATAATAACAACTCAGCCAACACACACAAAACTACCACTTAGTTTATTTTTTAAAAAATATGGGCTGGCGCTGTGATGCAATGGGTAAAATCACGGCCTGCAGTGCTGGCATCCCATATGGACACTGGTTCGGGTCCCAGCCCTTCCACTTCCAATCCAGCTCTCAACTAATGGCCTAGGAAGGCAGTAGAAGACGGCCCGAATGCCCCTGCCACCCTTGTGGGAAACCTAGAAGAAGCCCCTGGCTCCTGGCTCCTGGCTTCAGATCTGAGCAGCTCTGGCTTTTGTGGTCATTTGGGGAGAGAACCAGCGGATGGAAGACTCTCTCTCTTTCTGCCTCTGCCTCTACCTCTCTGTAATTCTGCCTTTCAAATAAATAATCTTTTAAAAGTATATATTCCTCTCTCTCTCTCTCTCAGGAATAATCACTATTCTATGGGATTTTTTTCAATTCTTTTTTAAAATCAACCCAAAATATTTCCAAATATTTATTGGATAGAGTGAGATATTTAAATGCATGTATACAATGTATAATGATCAAATCAGGATCATTAGCATATCCATCACCTCAAAAATTTATTATTTCTTTGTGTTTGGAACATTCACAATCTCTGCTAGCTCTTTTGAAGCTATTTTGAAATATACAGTAAATTAGTGTGTTTTTTTTTTTTTTGACAGGCAGAGTGGACAGTGAGAGAGAGAGACAGAGAGAAAGGTCTTCCTTTGCCATTGGTTCACCCTCCAATGGCCACCGCGGCCGGCGTGCTGCGGCCAGCACACCACGCTGATCCGATGGCAGGAGCCAGGTACTTCTCCTGGTCTCCCATGGGGTGCAGGGCCCAAGCACTTGGGCCATCCTCCACTGCACTCCCTGGCCACAGCAGAGAGCTGGCCTGGAAGAGGGGCAACGGGGACAGAATCCGGTGCCCCGACCGGGACTAGAACCCGGTGTGCCGGCGCCGCAGGTGGAGGATTAGCCTAGTGAGCTGCGGTGCTGGCCATAAGTTATTGTTAATTACAGTCATCCTACTGTGCTTTAGAACAATATAACTCATTCTTCCTATCTAACTATATTTTTGTACCTGATAGCCTCATATTTCCCTCCCCAAGCTCTGTTAACCATTATTCTATGCTCTACTTAATGAAATCCACTTAATTAACTTCCTTAGGTGAGAACATACAGTATTTGTCTTTCTGTGCCTGGCTCACTTCACCTAACATAATGTTCTGCAGGCTCATCCATGGTGTTGGAGAAAAACAGGGTTTCATTCTTTTTTGTGAATGACTACTATTCCATTGTGTATTCAAATGTGTACCACATTTGCTTTAGTCACTCACCTATTGATGGATACCTCATAGTAGTGAAAACACGCTCAGTATCCCTAGTTATCAGGGAAATGCACACAAAAACCACAATGAGATACTAACTCCTTTCAGTTAGAATGGCTATGATCGACAAAAACTCATAAATGCTAGTGAGGATACAGAAAAAGGGCATCCCATAAACATTGTTGCTGGGAATGTAGCTTTGTACAGCCATTATGGAAACAGTGTGGAGGGTCCTCAAAAAACTAAAAATATGACTACCATATGATCCAGTAATTCACTACTGGATATATACTCAGGGGAAATGAAATCTACACTTCCATGTTTGCTGCAGTACTATTCACAATAGCCAACAAACTGAATTATCCTGAATGTCTGTTGAGTTATTTTTGTTATTCCCTTGAATTTCCTTAAATTTCATGCACATATGTGCTTTTTAAAACATTTTTATTTATTTATTTGAGAGGCAGAGCTACAGACAGATGGAGAGACATAGAGAAAGGTCTTCTATCCACTGGCTTACTCCCCAGATGGCCACAACAGCTGGAGCTGAGCTGATCTGAAGCCAGGAGCCAGGAGCTTACTCCGGGTCTCCCACGTGGGTGCAGGGCCATCTTCCACTGCTTTGCCAGGCCATAGCAGAGAGCTGGATTGGAAGAGGAGCAGCTGGGACTAGAACCCGTGCCCATATGGGATGCTGGTGCTCAAGCAGAGGGCTATCCTGCTATGCCGCAGCACTGGCCCCCTCATATGTGTTTTTAAACTTCATATTGCTTAGTTTTGTTTGCTTTCATATTTTATATTTACCACATGTATTATTGACTTGTTTTTTTGTTTCGCCAAAAGTGGTACTGCTGAGATTCATCTATATTGTTGCATAGAACTGTATTTCACTTATTGTCTTAGCTAGGTAGAATACCATTGAATGCATTTACTGTAACTTACTAATGCTTTCTAACTAGCAATGCACATTTGCTACAGCCAACGTGCACTCATGAATATTCTTGCACATTTACATGTCTCCAGGTGCACAAGTTTCTCTTGGAGATAAACATTTATTCTGATGGATGCATGTGAAGGGCTGAATTGCATTCCTTCCAAATTCATATGAGGGAGTCCTAACACCCAGTACCTCAAAATGTGACTGTCACTTAGAGATAAAGTATTTGAAGAGGTAGTTAGGGTAAAACAACAAGGAAAGTATGGGTGGGTCCTGATCCATTGTGACAGGTGCCCTTATGAAAAGAGGAGATTGGGGACAGTCACTATAGCACAGCCAGTTAAGTCCTATCACTTGGGATTCTTTTGTCCCATATTGGAGTACCTGGTTCAAGTACTGGTTAGACAACCACACTTCTGATCCAGCTTCTTGCTAATGCACCTAGAAGAGTCTGGGAGGCTGCTGATGGTAGCCCAAGTACTTAGGTTCCTGCCACTCATGTGGGAGACCTGCATGGAGTTCCAGGCTCCTGGCTTCAGCCTTGCCTAGCCCCGGCTGTTGGTCAACCGACAAGTGGAAAGTTTTCTTTGTCTGTGTGTGTGTGTGTCCTTCTTCGTGTCACTCTGTCTTTCAAATATATAAACTTTGTTTTTTAAAAAAGAGATTAGGACACACATACACACACACACATCACATGGAGAGCTAAATATCTGCAAGCCAAGCAGAGAGGCCTCAAAAGACACCAAACCTGTCAATATTAGGATCTTGGACTTCTAGTCCCCAAATTATGAAAAAAGACACATTTCTGTGATTTAAGACATCCATTCAGTAGTATTGTGCCATGACAACCCTAGCAAACTAACACAATGTGGCTATTATGCTGTGATTTTAATTTGCCTTTATTGAGTGTGAGCATTATAGATGACTTGGGCTTCACCCTCCATGAAATGCTCTGGAATGTCATTTGCCCATTTGTTGTCATTGTCACTGTTGGATTATTTGCTTTTTCCTTGTTAGTTTTTCTACCATATTTTTTTTTTAAAGATTTCACTTATTTATTTGAGAGGTAGTGTTACAAACAGTGAGAGGGAGAGACAGGGAGAGAGGTCTCCCATCTGCTGGTTCACTCCCCAAATGGCCACAACAGCCACAACTGCACCAATCCAAAGCCAGGAGCCAGGAGCTTCTTGTAGGTCTCCCATGTGGGTGCAGGGGCTCAAGTGCCTGGGCCATCTTCTACTGTTTTCCCAGGCCACAGCAGAGACCTGATTGGAAGAAGAGCAGCTGGGATTATAACTGGCACTCATATGGCATGCCGGTGCTGCAGGTGGAGGATGAACCTACTGCACCACAGCGCTGGCCCCACCATCTTTCTTTATATATCCTAGACTTTAATTATATGGCAATGCATGTATTACAAACTATATCTTCTCCAATGTGTGGCTTGTCTTTTCACTCTCTTGATTCTTCACCTTCTTCACTGCTCCATGCTAAAATACCTTGTGTTTTTTAAATTTTAATAACAATACTTATGCTGGAACCCACTGAAAATACAAGAACTAAAGCATTAGTGATAATTTAAATTCATCTATGGCTTTATCATCTATTCGATCTCTCTACCATTCATTTCCTCAAAATAATAATAGCAGCTAATGCTTCTATAGCTGTCAATTATGCCAGGCAATGCTTTACGTGCTTTGTGTGTTTCAACTCATTTAAGCCTTACCATAACTCTGTGAGTTACCTATGCTATACACACAAGGCCACTGAAGAACAGATAAGTCAAGTAACTTACCAAGGTCACAGAAGCATTCAGTGACAAAGTCAAAATTGGAACCCAATCCGTCTCCTCGTTAACCATTTGACTACATTCTGTGTTTTTCATTTAATTGCTTCTAAAAACTTTTCCTTACTTATTTATGTATGCCTTAGTCATATACTCTTTAATCTTGCTTAGTTTATTAACTTTATTAGAAAAGCACTATGCCATATGCCATCCCAGGAGACAACATATGGAGTTACTCTAATGAACAGAAGTTCTTAATAGTAGCCTACATTAAAATATCAGTCTTTTGCCTTGTGGTTTATGCTTTTGTGGTCTTGTTTGTTTAAGACATCTTTCCTCAATCCAAAGCTAGAAATATATGGCCATGTATTATCTTCTATAAAAGCTCTAACTTTGTCTTTCACTTTTGTGCTTTTAAATTTTCTTTTATTTTGAAGTAGTTTTAGATTCACAAAAATTGGGGGGAAAAGATCATACTGTATACTGCACCCAGCTTCCATGACTGCGATTCACCTAGAGTATAGTGATCAAAACTGGAAAATGGGCCCAGAGCCCGAGAGGGAAGACCCTGGCGGCGGCCGCCTGACACTCGGCGCCTCCTGCCGTGCTCGGGGGCAGCATGTCCGAGGCTGGCGGGGCCGGGCCGGGCGGCTGCGGGCCGGGGGCCGGGCCCGGGGCGCTGCCCCCGCAGCCCCCAGCGCCGCCGCCGCCGCCGCCGCCGCCGCCGCCCGCGCCCCCGCAGGGCTTCTCCTGCGGTCCGGCGACGGCTGTGGCTGCGGCGGGCACGGCCGAAGGATCAGGGAGGCGGTGGCTCGGCCGGATCGCCGTGAAGAAGGCGCAGCTGCGCTCGGCTCCGCGGGCCAAGAAACTGGAGAAACTCGGAGTGTACTCCGCTTGCAAGGCTGAGGAGTCCTGTAAATGTAATGGCTGGAAAAACCCCAACCCCTCTCCTACTCCCCCCAGAGCCGATCTGCAGCAAATAATCGTCAGTCTAACGGAATCCTGTCGGAGTTGTAGCCATGCCCTAGCTGCTCATGTTTCCCACCTGGAGAATGTGTCAGAGGAAGAAATGAACAGACTCCTGGGAATAGTGTTGGATGTGGAGTATCTCTTTACTTGTGTCCACAAGGAGGAAGATGCAGATACCAAGCAAGTTTACTTCTACCTATTTAAGCTCCTGAGAAAGTCTATTTTACAAAGAGGAAAGCCTGTGGTTGAAGGCTCCTTGGAGAAGAAACCCCCATTTGAAAAGCCTAGTATTGAGCAGGGCGTGAATAACTTTGTACAGTACAAATTTAGTCACCTGCCATCAAAAGAAAGGCAAACAATAGTCGAGTTGGCCAAAATGTTCCTAAACCGCATCAACTATTGGCATCTGGAGGCACCATCTCAACGAAGACTGCGCTCTCCCAATGACGATATTTCTGGATACAAAGAGAACTACACAAGGTGGCTGTGTTACTGCAATGTGCCACAGTTCTGTGACAGTCTACCTCGGTATGAAACCACCCAGGTGTTCGGGAGAACGTTGCTTCGCTCAGTCTTCACCGTTATGAGGAGACAACTCCTGGAACAAGCAAGACAGGAAAAAGACAAACTGCCTCTCGAGAAACGAACTCTGATCCTCACTCATTTCCCAAAATTTCTATCCATGTTAGAAGAAGAAGTTTATAGTCAAAACTCTCCCATCTGGGATCAGGATTTTCTCTCAGCCTCTTCCAGAATCAGCCAACTAGGAATCCAAACAGGCGAAAAGAGGAAAATGTTCTGGAGGAGGCCAAGAAACCCCGAGTCATGGGGGATATTCCAATGGAATTAATCCATGAGGTGATGTCCACCATCACAGACCCTGCAGCAACGCTCGGACCAGAGACCAATTTTCTGTCAGCCCATTCAGCAAGGGATGAGGCAGCAAAGCTGGAAGAGCGCAGGGGTGTGATTGATTTTCACGTGGTTGGCAATTCCCTGAACCAAAAACCGAACAAGAGGATCCTGATGTGGCTGGTCGGCCTGCAGAATGTGTTCTCCCATCAGCTGCCCCGAATGCCAAAAGAGTATATCACGCGGCTCGTCTTTGACCGGAAACACAAAACCCTCGCTTTAATTAAAGATGGCCGTGTTATTGGTGGTATATGTTTCCGTATGTTCCCATCCCAAGGATTCACAGAGATTGTTTTCTGTGCTGTAACTTCAAATGAACAAGTCAAGGGCTATGGAACACATCTGATGAATCATTTGAAAGAATATCATATAAAACATGACATCCTGAACTTTCTCACATATGCAGATGAATATGCAATTGGGTACTTTAAGAAACAGGGTTTCTCCAAAGAAATTAAAATACCTAAAGCCAAATATGTTGGCTACATTAAGGATTATGAAGGAGCCACTTTAATGGGATGTGAGCTAAATCCTCGGATCCCATATACAGAATTTTCTGTGATCATTAAAAAGCAGAAAGAGATAATTAAAAAGCTGATAGAAAGAAAACAGGCCCAGATTCGGAAAGTTTACCCCGGACTTTCATGTTTTAAAGATGGAGTTCGACAAATTCCTATAGAAAGCATTCCTGGAATTAGAGAGACAGGCTGGAAACCAAGTGGAAAGGAGAAAAGTAAGGAGCCCAAAGACCCTGACCAGCTTTACAGCACGCTGAAGAGCATCCTTCAGCAGGTGAAGATCTGAAAACCATGAGTGAACGCCTCAAGAATAGGTACTACGTATCTAAGAAATTATTCATGGCAGACTTACAACGAGTCTTTACCAATTGCAAAGAATACAACCCCCCTGAGAGTGAATACTACAAATGTGCCAATATCCTGGAGAAATTCTTCTTCAGTAAAATTAAGGAAGCTGGATTAATTGACAAGTGATGTTCCCCCCCTGCTGCTTAGAGATTCATCAAGCAGTGTGCCTAATGCAAGGTGGTTTAGTTGTACAAAGAATTGGACAAAATATGTCGAAGAGACTTGTAATAATTAGCACTTTTGAAAAACAAACAAAAAACCTCCTTTTAGCTTTTCAGATATGTATATAAATTGACATAGAGCATTTTTATTTTATGGAATAGATTTTAATCTATCTAGTACTATTAATGTAAATTTTCTATGGCATGTCCATTAGACAACTATTACAAGATAAATGGTCAGGGGTTTCCTCAAAACCTGTATGTGAGGAAATTGCACATTGTCTCAAGATTTGGGGGATTCTAGAAAATTTCAGACCATGAATGTTTCCATGTTTTTCTAATGGAATGTGAGAATTTATTTTTATTTTATTCTGAAGGACTTTTAAGGAAGGGATACGTGATTTTAAAAAACCCATAAAAGGTGAAATACATTTGAAGTCTCATTGTAGACTTTACATATATATTTTTAAAACACTCATCTAAATGAGGTGCTTTGAGCAGTTCTGAAAAATGCAGCTCTACAAAAGCAACTGCTTTGATTTCTAAGGAAGAAATTTTAAATAATGCGACATTTTATAAGCATCTGGAGTTTTGATAATTCTGTCTACCTACAACAAACTTGTGTGTTCATAACCACTATTTTAATAATTGTTTTCTCTACATAAATGTTTAATATAGTATTTGACTTTGCTTATGCAGGCCATAAGTTCCAAAAGGTAATTTCCCAGGCCACAAAGGCGTAAATTTGAAAACACTTAAGATTTAATCCACATATTTTAATAGGAAAAAAGTTTATAGTTTACACATATATCAATATGGTGAATCCTTTTCTAAAATAAGGATTTATTTATTTGGTATACACAGCACCATTTATAAAGTATACATGAGGATTTTTCATTTTTCATCTCCCGATATTATTTGTTGTCAGTGGTGAATTAAATTCCAACCAAGGTTTTCTGTCAGTATTTTAATACCTATATTGCTATATAGGTCTAAGGTCACATCCCACTAAAATCCATTATACAACCAACCTTATTAACCTGTCTTCGATTTATTTCCTAATTACACTACAAAGAAAAGTGGGACTTCTGCCATCCCAAGTCTGGGAAAATCAACTAATATACAACCGTAGAAATGAAGGCCATCCTGGTGGTCTTGACACTAATTTTTATGATGCAAATTTATAAACTCGTTTTTGTAAAGGATGGAATTTTAAAAGTGTATTTATCTTGATTTTTCTATCAGCATAAATAAATTAAAATGATCAGTAACAGTCATTAAAAACCATTGCCAGTGACAGTCTGTGTGAAGGGAAAAACCTTGCAAATGGCTATTAAGTTGAAAGTGTTGTTTTTGATACAAATGAGATATTCAGAATGCTCACATGGAAAAATGCCTCATCTTTTTTAAGTATAAGAAACTACCTTCAGTGGTGTCTAGATTTCTATGAAGAATGATGATACAGCTTGGATTAAGTTATTTTGGACTGGTTTTAACAGTGCTTTGTATCAGATCTGCCAAAGCATCTGTCCAGCTTGGTATCCTGTGAAAGTTTGTTATTTTCTTGGTAGACATTCTTATAGAGTATTGTCTTTAAAATGAGATCGTCTCTTCTATATTGAAAGCATTTTTATGTTTTCTAATTTAAAAATTAATATTTTCTTATAGATATTGTGCAATAAAGCTGAAGTAGAATGTGTGGTTTTGCAAATGCTTTAACAGCTGATAAAATTTTACATTTGTAAAATTAATATATTGTACTGGTACAAAATAGTTTTAAATTATATTTTAAAAAGCTAAAAAAAAAACTGGAAAATGACATTGGTGTGGTACTATTACCTTTAGATGTTACTCAGATTTCACTAGTTTTACATACAGATTTTTCTTTAAATGAGTTTGCTTCTTTATTTGAAAGTCAGTGTTAGAGAGAGAGAGAGAGAGAGAGACATCTTCCATCTGCTAGTTCATGCCCCAGATGGCCATAACAACCAGAGCTGGGCCAGACTGAAGCAAGGATCCAGGAGTTTCCTCCAGGTCTCCCATATGGATAGCAGCAGTCCAAGCACTTGGGCCAACCTCTGCTGTTTTTCCTAGGCCATTAATAGGGAGCTAGATGAGAAGTGGAGCAGCCTGGTTACAAACTGGCACCCATGTAGGATGCTAGCATTGCAGGTGGCAGCTTTACCCACTATGCCACAATGCCAGCCCCATATACAGACTTTTTCATTTGGGTGTACAGTTCTGTGAAATTTGACCCCACCTCAATCAGCATCCTCTCTTGTCCTACCTTGCCCTCACCTCTAACTTCTGACAGTCACTGACATCATCTCCGTCATTATTGTTTTATTACATTGAGAATGTAATATAATACAATGATACCATATGTAATCTTTAACACTGACTTTTTTCCTTAACATAATTCCACTGAAATCCACCCAATTGTTGCATACATAAATAGCTTGTAACTTTTGTCAGCAAGTAGTATTTCACTGTACGGATGTACCACATTCTCTTTATCAGCATTTGTGCTGGTTCCAGCTTTTGACTATCATAACTAAAGCTATTCTGAGCACTCATGTGCAGGTTTGTGTGTGAATAAAATGTTCATTTCTTGGGGATAAATAAATAGCCTTTAATACACACAGGTTTCATTTTTGTATATGGTGAGAGGTAGAGATCCCATTTCATTTTTTCAATATACTTTATCAGTTGTTTTATTCCCATTTTAAAAGTAGTCCATTCCTCACCCTCCACCCCACTAGTCCAGTGATCTACAAAGATAGATATGATACCTGGTAAGGTTAGGCCCCTCAGCTTGTTCCTCTTACACCTTGGCATTTCTTGGATATTTGTTCTTCCATATAAAATTGTAATCTACTTGTCAAGTGTCATGAAAAGTACGCCTGTATTTTTATTAGAAGTTTATTGAAACTGCGGATCAGTTTGGAAAAGAATGAACATCTTTACAGCGTTGCTCTTTCCAAATGATGAACACAGTATGTTTCTTACTTTATTTAGCCCTTCCTTAACACCTTAGCCATATCTCTCTGATTTATTCCTACTCAGGTTTTTGACGCTGGAAGAGGCCACTGGAAAAAAATATTGGCACCAATACAAGAACTCAGTAAAATAAAATGACTGGGCACAAACCAAAATTTGCAAGACCCAAAGCTTGCTGATATAATTTGGCAATAATTAGTTTGAATACATAATGGAAAGGAAAAGCTCCCATTCACAATCACAATATAAAATATATTAAATAGAAATGAAACTAAGCTGAGAGATATAATTATTGCAACAGACTTTACAGACCAAGGGATAATATCCTTAAGATAAAACAGCATTACATATCAGGAAGAACAACATTGACTTCCCCAGAGGAAAATGGGTAAAAGATTGGAAGACAATAATCACACTCAAAGTCACAGAAATAGTCAAGAAGAAAAGTTGGCCCCCATAAAGCAAAGAAAGAGATTAAACAAGATATTTTCACCCACAAGTCTGACATGTTTTCTAAAATTTGTTTCTTTACAATGTGACAAGGGAGAAGAAACATCTGTCCCTTCTATTGCTGCTGGGGTAAAACCTGCTTGTTTCTGTAGGACTCTCAGCAGGTGTGTGCAAAATAGCTCTACCTCTAGACATCTAGTCTAAGGAGTTGTCAAACTAACGTGTCTCACTTTCCTCATTTGCCTTCATCATAGTCGGGTTTGGAGCATTAATGAGAAAGTCCCCTTAAAGATCCTAACCTGTATGATGCTTCGGGAAAATTCAAAAAAGGTGTCCCTGCTCTGCTGATAAAGTGCTCCTCCTAGAGGCAGATGTCCAGAGCTTGTGCAAAGAAAAGGTTCTGCCCCCTTACTCCAGGCTACTGCAGTCCAGAATGAGCTTGATTTAAACAACCGCTTTGTCCCTTGGTTAGTGCTTTTGTTGAATGCATCTATATGGTGGCTCTGAATCTTTGTGAAGTTTTTAGCAAAATGTCTGGTATTTGATCACTAAGTGTATCTGTTATTATGGTCAAGGACATTCAATACAGTAATATTCATAATGGTGAAAATTTGGAAACTATCTAAATGCAGAATGATATGGGATTAGTTCCATTGATTTTGCATATTCATGTAATGGAGGTGTTTTAATCTGTGTTTCAAAAGACTAATGAATGATATTGGAAAGATCTAAATATTAATCTTTTAAAAACTCAAGAAATACACTGGGACCAGTGTTGTGGCACAGAGGGCTAATCCGGTGCCTGTGACACTGGCAGCTTGTATGAGCACCAGTTCAAATTCTAGCTGTTCCATTTCCGATCCAGCTCCTTGCTAATGTGCCTGGGAAAGCAAGAGATGGCCCACATGCTTGGGCCCCTGCCACCCAAGCGGGAAACCTGGATGAAACTCCTGGCTTCCAGCTTTGGCCTGGCCCTGCCCCGGCCATTGCAGCCATTTTGGGGGTGAACCAGCAGATGGAAGATCTCTATCTCTCCCCCACACCCATAACTCTGTCTTTCAAATAAATAAATAAATCTTTAAAAACATTTTCAAAAAGGACAAAGGGGAGCTCTCATACACTGTTGGTGGGAATGTAAATTATTGCAGCCACTGAAGAAAACATTATGAAGATTGCTTTAAAAACTAGAAATACACCTGCCATATGTCCAGCAATCTCACTTCTGGGTATATACCCAAAAGACTTGATCACATTGTATCAAAGAGATACCTGCACCATCATGTTTATACCAGCACTGTTCACAATAGCCAAAATATGGAATCAACCAAGGTGTCCACCATCAGATGACTGGATAAAGAAAATGTGATACACACACACACTCACATACACATACTGGAATATTATTCAGCTATAAAAAAGAAATTATACCATTCACAGAAAATGGGTGCAACTGGAGGACATCATGTTGAGTGTAATAAACTGGACCCAGAAACACAAATACCACATGTTCTCCCTCATATGTGGGAGCTAAAAATAAAGACTCAATCTCAACACAGAATGGTGATTACTAGGAGATGAGAGAGGTGGGAAGAATAGAGAGAGATTGAACTAAAACAAAATATGGGAAGGGGCCCCCATGTTGTGCAGTAGGCTATACCTTCACCTGCGGCACCAGCATTCCATATGGGCACCGGTTCAAATCCCA